CCCCACAGGTGTGAGCGCCACACCCCTCTGCTGACCCCACAGGTGTGGGCAGCACACCCCTCTGCTGACCCCACAGGTGTGGGCACCACACCCCTCTGCTGACCCCACAGGTGTGGGCACCACACCCCTCTGCTGACCCCACAGGTGTGGGCAGCACACCCTCTACTCACCCCTGTGGGCAGCACACCCTCTACTGACCCCTGTGGGCAGCACACCCTCTACTCACCCCTGTGGGCAGCACACCCTCTGCTGACCCCTGTGGGCAGCATACCCTCTACTGACCCCTGTGGGCAGCGCGCCCCTGCTGTGTTTGTTACCTTCCAAGCCAGCACACAGCACAGCTACGAGAGCATGGACTTCAGTCTCCATTTCAGTAGCATAGAGAGGCATTGGTCTGCCTCATTCATTAGCTCCACAGGCCAGAGGAACACACTGGAACATACTCCTGGTGACGCCTGCTGGCTCTGGCACTGAGAACTATAGCTTTTCATATAATAGACAAACTCTGGGACTTGAGTGATGAGAAAGGATGGTTTTAGTTGTCAGGGACTTGAGAAAGAATCTCAAAACTCATCCAAAACATCCTAATCAAGCAGATAATGAAGACAGCCCCAATTCTGGTCATTAATTTTTCTCTTTCTCCATTTATTGACTTTAAAAATAATTGTCCTGGAGGTGTAGATCTATAAACCCAGCTACTCACATGGCTAGGGGAAAAGATTCCAAGTTCAAAGCCACCCTGTGGGCATCTTAATGAAACATGTATCCATATAAAAGATAAAAGAGGACCAGGGAATGGAACTAAGTGGTAGAACTTGCTAGGTTCACTTCCCCACCAAACCTGACAAGTAGTAGTTAGTACAAGGCTCCAGAGTCTTGCAAGCCTGACCAGGCTGATTCAAAAGGAACGGCAACTGCTCGTATCTGAAGACTCCTGCAATCTTCTGGTTTCACAGTGCCCACAAAGCACCAATTTCTCATGCATCACCACAAATACATATCCATGCAGTATCTTTAATAGTTAGACAGCAATCTTGAAAATGCAACCATATCAATGACGGAGGAAAAACCCAATTTGAAAGATGTTCAAGAATAAAGGGATCTATAAGTTTGTTTTTACCTGAGAAAGGTATAGTGATATTATATTTATTTTTAATAAATAAAGCTTGCCTGATTATCAGAAGGGCAAAGCTAAGCCACTAGAGGTCAGGCAGTGGTGGCACACACCTTTAATCCCAGGATTTGGGAGACAGAGGCAGCTGGATCTCTGTAAATTCAAGGCCTCCCTGGGCTACACAAGATCAATGCAGAAAAAAATGTAGATGGTAGTGGCCTATACTTTTAATCCCAGCACAGAATAAAATGGGAAGAGAGAGGCTCTGGCTGTTTAGTCTGCAGTCACCCAGCTTTGGTAGAGGTAAGATTCCTAGTGACTTGGCTGCTTTGCTTTTCTAGTTTTCAGGTTGAACCCCAATATCTGTTTCTGGGTTATTATTATTCGTGCTATAGACGGGGTCTTGTGTGCTCCAGGCTGTCCTTAATCTTTATGTGAACTTGGACATCCGATTCTCTGGCCCCCACCTCCCAAGGTCTGAGATGCAGGTTTGCATCAGCAGTGCTGGGGAATCACATGGAGGACTTCTGGTCCTTTCCAGTAAGGGTTACTGGCATTTTTGATAATGTGTTAGCAAACAAATAAGAAGTAAGCTGCTGTCTAGTGTGTTGGCCACCAGATTTAATCCCAGTGCCCGAGAGGCAAAGAGACATGGATCTCTGAGTTCAGGGCCAGTCTGGTCTTCATTAATTTCAAATAAAAAACAAAATAAAATAAAATATTGCCGGGCAGTGGTGGCAAATGTCTTTAATCCCAGCACTCGGGAGGCAGAGGCAGGGGGATCTCTGTGAGTTCGAAGTGTAGAGAATGAGTTCCAGGACAGGGTCCAAAGCTACACAAAGAAAACCTGTCTCAAAAAATAAAAAATTATCAAGCTATTATAATTATTTTAATAATTCATATTTAATTTAAAATTACTGTAAATTATATTTGTTTATTATAAAATAATTATAATTATTAAATAACATGCTTTTTAAAAACATTTCCTTTTCTAAGCTCTGAAAATCTAAGACTGAAATCTCTTAGATAAGAGATAGTATTCAATTAATGTTTTATCGAGATCTAGAAAATTCCTAATGCGAGTTGGCACTATAGTATACACCTGTTATCCCAACAGTCAGGACACTGAAGCAGAAGGATTGAGTTCAAAATCAGCCTGGTAACATATCGAGATCCTGTTGGAAGGATTGGAGGGAAGGGAGGAAGGAGGGGGGAAATGAAGACTCCTCAAAGGATCCAAGCTATTCTTAAAGTTTTTACTTAATGTCCATTTATTTTCTCTGTGTGTGTGTGCACACACATGTACACACACATACACATCATAACCGTCCTTAGCTTCAGAGACTTTTTATGTGTTTGAAAACTCAAGGCATTACCAGGCAGCTTCCACAGTAGGCTTCCACGTGGTTTCTCAGATGGCCTCAGTGTTGGTTGTTCCCCTCCATATTCTTCCTTTGTGCTTCTCTCCCATCCCCCTCCCAGTATTTCCTCCTCTTCTACTTTCCCCTTTATCTCTCCATAACACTGTATTCTATTTCCCCTTCCTTGGGAATCCTCTTGTATCTCCGATTCCTTACTTGGTCCCTACGTAACCTCTGTTACGATTCAGATCATAACACGCCTGTTATGATTCAGATTATAACACGCCTATTATAAGCTCTCAAACTAACATTGCATACAAGAGAGAAAAATACTTTCTCCCAGTCTGGGAGGCAGGTCAGCTGGTAGCCCAGCATGCACAGAGCCCCTGGGTGACCTTCAACACTGTGGGACTCTGGCATATGCCAGTAATGGCCGTGCTCATGAGGTGGAGGCAGGTCTTCCTCAGCTACATGGTGAATTCAAGGCCAGCCTGGCTACTTGAGAGCCTGTCTCCAAAGAAACTTATTCAGAAGGACATGACTTCCCCTTCCCCATCCCACTGCACATAAGGGAAACAACGAGTTCCCTTGCTCAGCAGACAGGCCTGGACTAGGCGGCCATCATGCGCTGTTCATGCTTTTCCTGACAATGGGAATTCCCCTTCAGAATTGGGTAGAGAACCGGGATGCCAATAGGATGCCAGCGGTTTTGTCACTTGAGGAGCTTTTCCAAGAGCATCAAGCATATCTCATCTCTCTCTTGACCAACAACTGTCAGGCAGCCCACTGTGTCATGCTTCTCCATCAAACCACGACTCATGAATGAGAGTGGCTGCTTCCTGGAACTATGGACCAGAATGATTGTTGTCCTGGAAGCACTTAAGTCAGCACAAAAGACTGGACAAGAACTTAGTTTCAGCTTCTTACTGGGCTCACTACAAGACAGTTATATAGATGCTTCATATGCTTGTTGAGCAAACTGAGTGATTTATTTAAGATTAATTTTTTTGTTTGTTTTTTGTTTTTTTTGAGACAGGGTTTGTCTGAGTACCTTTGGAGCCTGTCCTGAAACTTGCTATATAGACCAGGCTGGCCTCAAACTCACAGAGATTCGCCTGCTCTGCCTCCTGAGTGCTGGGATTAAAGGTGTGCGCCACCACCACCCAACTTAAGGCTAAAATTTTAATCTGTCCAAGGTTAAATTGCCAATTAACCAAAATGCATGATAGGATAAAGAGGAATAAATATAAAAATGAGGTCATGTACGGGAGCAATGTTGCCTTTTCCCCAGAGAATGGTGAGGGACGTTAGGAGTCAGGAGTGGGCTGGCGAGATGGGTCTTGCTTAGATGTGAGCACTCACAGGATTTCATGTTCTCCCTCACACCAGTGGCACAAGAAAGAGAGACCGAGGACCAGAGGGTCTGAAAATCTGGGACCCTCGTATGTATCTGTCTAGCTGCTACTCAGATAACTGAAGGAGACTCTACTGCCTTGGATGCCCTTCACATATGGCATATTCTCAGAACAGTGATCCTCACCCAGGATGCACACAGCCAGTGTCCCCTTTCCCTAATCATTGCCAGGGACCCTAACACTCAGGGATAAGTGATGAGCAGCTTCACTGTATGTTTAAGCAGTGGCCCAGAGAGGCAGATTTTTATAACCCACTGACCTATACTGACCTTCTAAACAAATGACCCAAGACTATGTGAGGAGGATCAGGGCCGACCCCTAGCGTGGCTTGGCCACAGGTGTGTAATTCCCCAGAGTGCTGTTGTGTATTTACTGTTTCTAGTTCTTGAGTGTTTTCAGACAGCCTCAAGCCCTGAGTCTTAGCAGTGGTACCATGAGGACAGCATCAGTGCATGGCGATTCACCCTTGGGGTTTCTATAAGGTGGCCTTTGACTGTAACTTTACTTTTTTTCCATCACTCAAACCTTAATGACACACATCTATTCACAAGAAAATCCAGGTCTGAAGGCCGCCCGAGCTGCTCACAGCCTTCAGCGACAGTGGAGACATAGTGTCTGCGTTTCTCAACTAGCTCAAATTGAAAGACCACCACTCAGACTTCATTCTCTCCCCTGACCCTCCCAAAGTGAGGAACAGATGAGCCAGCCTCATGCTAGGGGCATAAGCTCCATTCTCCTACACATTGGGAGAAACTTCTCTAGTGAAAAGCTGGAGGTCTGATTTCTGAAAATCCACTCTTTCCCAGAAGTTGTGAACACAGATGTGATGAGTTTCTGTTTGCGGATAATTTTATTTGTTCTAGTTGCTTATCAAGTATCTTGGGTTATTCCTTTTAGGTTAGATAATACAACAGGAAAGCTAACATTTGCAAAGTTATTTATGAATAGCAAAAAGAAATCTAATCTCCAAGTTAGAGCTTAAAGAAATCATGTGGTTCAAATCCTTCAAGACCACGTGCTTTCATTTCAACAAGTGTATGCCAAACTAGGTCATGCATAATCCAGTTTAACTTTGCATTTAAAATTTAGTGGGGACATCATGTCAGTCTGACTCAGATATATAGTAGCTAGCTCAGCCACATCAGTAGAAATGTGGGCATTTGATGAAATGTTTTCTAACATCAAGACAAGTAAGATTATGAAAGTCCGCAGGGAAGCCTGGATCAGGCATAAGGATAGTTGGTTCAGCCTGACAGAAGGTCTAGGGGACAGGCAGGCAGTTCCTGGGTACACCGGAGTAGCAAGGGGCTGAATCATGCTCCACCTTCCTCTATAGGACTCTGGGAATTGACACAGACAAAGTCTGGCACCGAGGGTCAAAGAGAATACAAAGAAGCAAGCTGGGAAATCCACATGCAAGTGAGCTGGAAGCTGCTCTAGAGGAGCGCAAAGATGAAATGGAGTACGTTACCGACCAGCCACCGGCTGACATAGGCCAGATGCACAGAAAAGAATTAGTGAGTTCAGCGATAGAGAGAACCGCTTTCCTTTCTCTGAGAAAATAGAGGGTAGTGGGCCAGATGCATGTCTAGCAAGGTTGAGAAACACGGTGGCAAATTAGGTCATCTCGTTTTTTGCACTTGTGCTTGAAGAGCATGGAGACAACTGCACGTCCACAGGACGAGGGATTTGATGGGACCATCAGAAACTGGTTTCAATTAAGAAAAGCAAGTGCATCTTTTAGCCTTCACCTGGTCAGGGAGGTCAAACTCACACATGCGCTAAAACTTATTCCACTCAGTTATCTGGGTGGTCCATTTATCCAAGAGTCCCAGAAAACAGAAACGAACGGCATGCCTGTCCTTTACTGACCTTTAATCGTGCCACGAAGTGAGCTGCAACATGGAGTTCTGAGGCCGGGCTCCCCAGGATGATCTCAAAGCGATACTGCAGCCCCAGCTTGTCCCGCACCTCCTGCAGTCGCTCCCTGGCCAGCATGGCCAGCTGCACGGACGGCACTCTGATGATGAGCATCGGTCCCCGGCCACTCTTGTTTTTTCCTGGGCAGCTGAGAAGGTCATCCATAATGCTGAGTGTTTCCGGTGTGCTGTGGTCTCGGAGTGATGCCATGGTGGTGAGAGCCATCAAGGCCTCTGAGTACTGCTGGATGAGAAGATAGCAGCGTACGACCATGCTGTGCAGCGTGGGGTACCTACAACAGAACGCAGGCAGCTAGCACGCAGCACAGGGCCAGCTGGACCAGCAGGCATGCACAGTGAAATGCAAATGGGACACTGAAGCGAGGAGCTACAGAGCAGAGTAACCTTGGATCCCACAGTACTAAAGTGGTTGCAGCTCCAGAGCAGGTATAACTTGTCGGGACGGATGGAGTAGGTTAGGGTTTGGGGCTGGCCTAGAGACGCTACCTTCTCAAAGTGGACCAGCACCGGCACAGGGAAGTTAGAACTGTCAGACTGCCCACATCAGACTACAGAAGCAAGCCCTGCTGCTGAACAGCCCCCTTTCCCACCGGCAACTGGGATGCTCATTAAAAACTGAGACACAATGATCGGTGCAGGTTAATTGTGGACAAGTCTCAATCCCCAGATCTTAACCTCATGCTACAGCCTGGACACATGACCAGCATGTTGCCAGCTAGCTTCTCAGATACCAGTTAGGAAACAGACACTGCTGTCATTATTCTTGGTATATCAGACGTTAAAGAAAGGGTAGCTGGACTGATAGAGCATGCCTGTGACCCCAGCAGAGAGGTAGAAAGATAGAAAATTTAAGCCCAGTCTGGAAGATACAGCAAATTCTAGGCCAGCCTGGGCTGCATAATGTAATGACATCTCATTACAACAACAACAAACAAAACAACTAGCAAAAAATGCCAGCACATAAATTATTGCTAATTTGAGGTCAGCTCTATGGGTAGCAGAAATTTATCTTTCCAAAAAAAAATATATTGATGCTGGGAAAATTGGAGCTAGCTGAAGAAGGAGCACCCCCTAGTGGTGGGCCTTTTATCACTAGAGACTAGGAAATCAGTTGGGAGCATTGCAGGCTAGGCAGGGAATATCGGAAGACTTGATGACCAAAGGGCAAAGGCCCCTAGCTGCATGAGGGGTTGAGAAAGCAGGCACTAGCAAGGCAGGGCTGTGCAGGGCTTGGCAGAGCCTGGCAAAGTGCTGAGGAGTCTGGCCCCCTTTTCCTGGTCACCAGTTGGCAGTTCATGAGTAGCTCAGTAGCAGGGTAGGCTAGTAGGGAATTTCACCTTTACTCTACTTTATAATCCTCTTTAAAATTGAACAAATGTTCTTAAGCTTGCCTAGAAAAGCCAAGGGTCAAATGCCCAGCTAGGGCATTTAAGAAACTAGCATAGCCATGCTAGTTTTGAAGCATTTTGGGAGAAATGCACCAACAGTGGCCATACTTGACTGGCTCCAGCTTCCACAGGGGCGTGAGTGTGAGAGACGGGAGAGTTCAGCTACTTGTTCTAGACTGGGGATGATTGGAGA